GTCAGATTAGGTCAGGTCAGCTCAGTCAGGTCAAAAGACAAGCTAACACCTGGAGTGCCTAATCTTCACCTGATAACACTATACTTCCACAGTACTAAGGACCAGACTTCTTATGTTATCAGCCGCCCCCTGACACTAACTGATAACACTAGTAAGATAACACCTGGATTTTTATCACCCGTTTGGTTCTCTTCATTGTTTTCATGGTTATTTTACCTGTCTGGTGATAACCCCCTGTGTGTGTGTGTGTGTGTGTGTGTGTGTGTGTGTGTGTGTGTGTGTGTGTGTGTGTGTGTGTGTGTGATGTGAGTGCTAGAGTGTACGTATGTATATGAGGATGTATATGTAGGTGGATGTAAACTGTATATGTATGTATTAATGTATATATTAATGTAATGTATATGCAGTATATATGTTAAAAGTATTTGTGTGTATGTTTGTATGAGTATAAATGTATACTGGTATGAATGTAACTATGCATGTATATTTTATGTGTGTGTATTTATGAACGTATGTATATAATGTACATTTGTATGTGTATGGATATTTATACATGCAGTATATGAGTATGGTAGTGTGAGGAAGATACAGACAGACAGACACACACACAGCCAGACAGACAGACAGACAATGACAGACAGACAGACAGAGACACACACAGACACACAGACAGACAGACAGACTGACAGACAGACAGACAGAGACACACACAGCCAGACAGACAGAGCAGACAGACAAATACACAGACAGACAAGACAGAGACACACAGACAGACAGACAGACAGACAGGCAGACAGACAGGCAGACAGACAGACAGACAGACAGACAGACAGACAGACAGGCAGACAGACAGAGACACACACACAGACAGAACAGTGACAGAAGAGCAGATCCCTCACTAAGTCATTGAGGATCAGCAGACAGCGGCCATGCAGATATGTAAACACCTCCCTCCATCTTGTTTATTGTGGCTCAAGAGACAGATGTTGGTGAGGGAGATGGGGAGTTATCTATTCATCTATCTATCTTCTGTCTATCTATCTATCTATCTTCTGTCTATCTATCTATCTATCTATTTTCATCTATCTATCTATTTTCTGTCTCATTCATCCATCTATATTTCTTCTATCTATCTATCTATCTATTTTTCTATCTATCTATCCATCTATCTATCTATCCATCTATCTATCTATATTTTCTCTGTCTATCTATCTATCTATCTATCTATCTATTTTTCTATCTATCTATCTATCCATTTATTTTCATTCATCCATCATCAGTCTATCCATCTATCTATCTATCTGCCCACCACATCATTCGTCCACTAAGTATTACTAACATCGACATAACCATGACCAGAGACCCTGAGACACTGGGACCCTGAAGACTGAGACCCTGAGACCTGAGACCCTGGGACCCGAGACCTTGAGAACATGAGACCCTGGGAGACACTAAACCCTGAGACCCTCAACCTGGGACCCTGAGACCCGACCCAGAGACCCTTGGACCCGGACCCAGACCCTAGAACCTGAGACCCTGGAGACCCTGGGGCCCAGAGACCCACGAGACCCTGAGACCCTGGAGACCCCGAGACCCGACCCACCCCGAGACCCAGACCGACCCTACCCTACACCCTGAGACCCTGAGACCCTGGGACCCCGAGACCCTGGTACCCTGGGACCCCAAATCAAAACACCCTACAAGACCCCCTGAGACCTTGAGACCTAAGACCCGAGACCCCGGGACCCTGAGATCCCGAGACTCTGAGACCCTGAGACCCTAGAACCCGACCCTGGGACCCTGAGCCCTGAGACCCTGAGACCCTGAGACCCGAGAACCCTGAGACCCTGGGGACCCTGAGCCCTGAGACCCTGGGACCCTGGGGACCTGAGACCCTGAGACAGACCAAGAGACCCTGAGACCCTGACCTGAGACTGAGACCCTGGGACCCTGAGACTGAGATCCTGGACCGGGACCAACCCGGACCACATCTCTAGACCCTGGGACCCTGTCAACCAAGACCCTGGGACCCTGAGACCCTGGGACCCTGAGACCCTGGACCCTGGGACCCGAGACCTTGAGACCCTGAGACCCTGGGACTATAGGACCTTGAGACCCTGGGGGACCCTGGAGACCATGAGAGACCCTGACACCCTGGGACCATGAGACCCTGGGACCATGGGTCGGGTCGTGGTTTCTGCCCCTTCTTCACCTTATTAATAAATTTGATAGACTTTGAGGTGTTATGATGGTGCTGAGGTTAAGGTACTGTGGTATGTGTCCTGTGTGGTATGTTGTCCTGTGTGGCATGTGTCCTGTGGTGTCCTGTGGTATGTCCGTGTGGTATGTGTCCTGTGTGGCATGTGTCCTGTGTATGTTGTCCTGTGTGGTATGTGTCCTGTATGTTATCATGTGTGTGGTATGTCCTGTGTGGTATAATGTCATGTGTATGTGTCCCTGTGTATGTGTCCTGTGTGGTATGTGTCCTGTGTGGTATGTTGTCATGTGTGGTATGTGTCCTGTGTGGTATGTTGTCATGTGTGCCCTGTGTGGTATGTGCCCTGTGTGTGGTATGTGTCCTGTGGTATGTTGTCCTGTGTGGTATGTGTCCTGTGAATGTTGTCATGTGTGGTATGTGCCCTGTGGTATGTGCCCTGTGTGGTATGTGTCCTGTGTGGTATGTTGTCCTGTGTGGTATGTGTCCTGTGTGGAATGTTGTTATGTGTGGTATGTGCCCCTGTGTGGTATGTGTGTCCTGTGTGTGGTATGTGTCCTGTGGTATGTTGTCAGTGTGTGTGGTATGTGTCCTGTGTGGTATGTTGTCATGTGTGTATGTGCCCTGTGTGGTATAAAAAATTGTGTGTGGTATGTTGTCATGTGTGGTATGTGCCCTGTGTGGTATGTGTCCTGTGTGGTAGTTGTCCCTGTGTGTTGTCATGTGTGGTATGTGCCCTGTGTGGTATGTGCCCTGTGTGTGGTATGTCAATGTGTGTGGTATGTGCCCTGTGTGGTATGTGCCCCTGTGTGGAGCAAATGGGTGGGGGGAGGATAGGTCATCTTGTCCTGGAGTGGTGGGTTAGGTGGGTTAGGATGGGGGAAGGGTGGGTAGGTGGGTGGATAGGAAGGAGGGAGACAAGGATGTTTTAAACTGACCACACACACATATACACAACATACATACATACATACATACATACATACATACACGCAGTCCCACACCCACACACACCTTCATTACCTGTAATTATCATGAATATAAGACCTTAATAATAACTAATAGCTGTACTCTACATAACTACAGAATGACATTATAAGTCTCCTCACTCGACCTTACCTAATAAGACTCAACCTTACCCTCAAACTCACACTGATATTCAAAAGGCAACACTCAAGGGTCCGTTCCTGTGTTGTGAGGCATGGAGGCGCTTTTATTATTATTATTATTATTATTATTATTATTATTATTACAAACACTATTAGGAAGTATTTTATTATTATTATTTTGATGCTTATGGATTCTCTAAACTCTTATTTATCTACTTATATTTTTATTTATTTAGGTTTATGGCTTTTATGTAAGAGAATGACTGGGAGGTTAAAGAGAGAGCGAGGTTGGCTTTAGTCTTATTCCCCCCTCCCTCTCCCTTAACCTTCCTCTCTCTCCTTAACCCTCCCCCCCTCCCCAACCTTCCCCTCCCCTCCCACCTCCCCCCCCACCCTTCCCCCAAACCTCCCCCTCTCCCCAACCTTCCCCCCTCCCAACCCTTCCCCTCCCCTCTCTCCTTAACCTTCCCTCCCCTCTCCTCAAACCCCCTCCTCAACCTCTCCCCCCTTAACCTTCCCCCTTCCCTCCCCCACCTCCTTAACCTTCCCTCCCCTCCCTTAACCTTCCCTCCCCTCTCCCTTAACCTTCCTCCCCCCTCCCCCACCTTCCCCCTTCCTCCCCCTCCCCTCCCTCCCTAACCTTCCCCTTAACCTTCCCTCCCCCTCTCCCTTAACCTTCCTCTTCCCATCCCTTCTCTTCCTCCCCCTCTTCATCCTTCCCCCCCAACCCCCCCCCCATCCCTCCTTCTTACCCGTCCTACCTGTTGGGGCCAAGGCAGGTGTTGATTGTCTTAGAACACCTGTTGTCATACCTGGTCACTGAACATAGTGACTCAATGTGTGACCTCGCTAATGTTTGAGTCTCCTATACTGTGAGGTCAAGGTCATAATTATAAAAGTAACCTGTCTCCTTTTTCTCGTGAGGTCAAACCACAGTCTATCAAAGGTCAAAGTTCGGCTAATGACCTCTGCCATACTCCCCATACAATTTCGCAGTGTTGTTAATAAAATCGTATATTATTTTCTATTTTTTTTTGTGTTCTGGAGTTTTATCATAAATTATCTGCTTCTACAAACAACTCAAAGATAAACTCAGTATTTCATTATTTCTACATGAATATTTGGCATTTTTTATTATTTGTTTTTTGGATCACCTGAAGAAGTTATTGTACTACTCACCTTATTTCACCTGATGATTAACTGCCCTAACCCAACCTAACATCAGGTAACATAAGACAATACTATCATCAAATAACAACTAAACTGGTTGATTAATATAAACTAATAACCTGCTTCAAATCTTCAGGTGTATCCTTAACATAAAGCAAAAGCATTACATGTTGTTCTGGCCACACTAAATAGTTGTATGTGTCAATCTTACAGAGTAGAGAGGTGTTAGCTAGTGACAGACGCTGGCAGAAGAACGCAGCCGACTGGTCCTCTTCCTAGTAGAGCACCCCAAGCAACCAACCTTAGCGTGTGTGTACCGCCTCTCGTGTGTGTGGTGGAGGGGGGTCGTCATCATCACATATACATACACACAGACAGACACTTGCTTAAACAACACACATACACTTAAAACAGACACATACACTTAAAACACACACACACACAAACTTAAAACACACACACACACACACACACACACACACACACACACACACACACCTCCCAAGGCCTCCTGCTCCCCGCGCTGCAGTGACGCTAGTGGTAAATGTTGTTGTGTATTTGTTTGTTGTTGCTTAATTATATGTCCTCTGCATAACACAAGGTAATTATAATACTCCTCATAATACCAGGTGATAATACTCCACAATACCAGGTAATGATACTCCCATAATACCAGGTAATTATACCTCTTAATATCGTAATTATACTCCTTAATACCAGGTAATTATACCTTTTGACCAGATGATTATACCCATTAATACCAGGTAATTATACCTTAATACCAGGTAATGATACTCCTGCATAATACCAGGTAATTATACTTTTTATGATACAGGTGATTATACTATTTATGATTCTATGTGATTATACTACATAATACCAGGTAATTATATTCTCTTAACATAAAACCAGGTACTTTTATTCTTAACACCAGGTAATAAGACTCCTTTTAAGACAACTCCCAGGTAATTGTTATGCCCAGTGCTTCATTAAGATTAGGTTGCGAGGTCTTAACGAAGCACTGAAGCACTGAATCCTGCCTAATGAAGCCTCACCATCAAGAGAGAGGATTAAATCTTGAAGTATAATGCCCTAAGTTCCAACCAGCCAACTGAACTTTCCTCACTATAAAACTTGACTTAACATTGACTCATTTAACAAACTTAACTTAATTTAACTTATAATTAATCTGTTAACTTATAAGGCTTTGTGTGATTAATTAGGGAGGTATATTTAAGGTTATTTAATTAATGTTATGTTTATGTGTTAAATAATGTTTGTATTGATGGGATTAAATTTGGTGCCCCCTGAGTTGGTTGTCTCAGGGGGTAATGGTGCCCCCTGAGTTGGTTGTCTCAGGGTGGTGCCCCTGAGTTGGTTGTCTCAGGGGAATAGTGCCCCCTGGAGTTGGCTGTCCCAGGGAATGAGCCCCTGAGCTGGTTGTCCCAGGGTAATGGTGCCCTGTTGGTTGTCTCAGGGGTGGAATGGTGCCCCTGAGCTGGGTGGGTCCTCAGGGGACGGTGCCCCTGAGCTGGGCTTGTCCCAGGGCTGCCCCTGGTTGCTGTCCCTGTGGATGTCCGAGCTGGCTGTCCTCAGGATGGTCCCTGGAGCTGGTTGTCCCAGGGGTAATGGTGCCCCTGGAGTTGGCTTGCCCAGGGGATGGTGCCCCTGAGTTGGCTGTCCCAGGGGTAGATGGTGCCCCTGGAGTTGGCTGTCTGGGGGGATGGTGCCCCTGGAGTTGGTTGTCTCAGGGTGGATGCTCCCCTGAGTTGGCTGTCAGGGGGTACGGTGCCCCCTGAGTTGGCTTGTCTCAGGGGTATGGTGCCCCTTGAGTTGGTTGTCTCAGGGGATGGTGCCCCCTGAGTTGGTTGTCTCAGGGGATGGTGCCCCCTGAGCTGGGTTGTCTCAGGGGTAATGCCCCTGAGCTGGGCTGGCCCCAGGTAATGGTGCCCCTGGAGTTGGCTGTCTCAGGGGGTAATGGTGCCCCCTGAGTTGGTTGTCTTTAAAGGCAATTTTATCTTCATCCACGTATCTATCTATCTATCTATCTTTTCTTTTCTTCCTTTCTGGGTAGTTAGAGGGGGCTGGGTGGGGGTTGAGTGGGGTGGGTGGGGCGGGGTGGGACGGGTTCAGCAGGGTAGGGCGGGGCGGGGTTCAGCAGGGTAGGGCGGGCAGTTCAGCAGGTAGGGCGGGGCGGGGTTCAGCAGGGTAGGGCGGGGGTTCAGCAGGGTAGGGCGGGGCGGGGTTCAGCAGGGTAGGGCGCGGGGCGGGGTTCAGCAGGGTAGGGCGGGCGGGGTTCAGCAGGGTAGGGCGGGGCGGGGTTCAGCAGGGTAGGGCGGGGCGGGGTTCAGCAGCAGGGGCAGGGCGGGCACGGCGCAGGGTAGGGCGGGCGGGGTTCAGTATTGATTGATATTTCAACAGCAGGATGGTGTGGGCGTGGCCAACTCTCTTCTACCTCTACATGATGCCATTTACTGACATATTTTGTAGCTCGTGAATAGTCATGGTATTTGTTACTGTATACATTAAGCTGATTTGAAGTAGATTCCCTATGCTCTCACTCTTAACTTCAAAAAACTTTAATTTATAAAACTTTAATAAACACTGCTGTCTCCGTCATGAGTCAAGAAAGGAGTATGAGTGAAGGGGTCATAGAGGCGAGATAGCCATGTTAATATTGTATAACCTTCGCCTTATTGTGGGTATGTGAGTTGTCTTTGTCTTCCACCTGTTATTCATCAACTCATTACTGAGGTCTTGTGACATGTAAAGGAGGGAAAGCATGTGAGGGAAGGTCTTGACCATACTTATGTGAGTGTGAGGGAAGGTCTTGACTCATACTTGTGAGAGTGTGTGAGGGAAGGTCTTACTCATACTTTGAGAGTGTGAGGGAAGGTCTTGACCTTACTTGCAGAGAGTGTGAGGGAAGGTCTTGACTCATACTTTGTGAGAGTGTGAGGAAGGTCTTGACCATACTTGTGAGAGTGTGAGGGAAGGTCTTGACTCATACTTGTGAGAGGTGAGGGAAGGTCTTGACTCATACTTGTAGAGAGTGTGAGGGAAGGTCTTGACCTCACACTTGTGTGAGTGTGAGGGAAGGTCTTGACTCATACTTGTGAGAGTGTGGAGGGGTCTTGACCTCATTCTGTGAGTGTGAGGGAAGGTCTTGACTCATACTTGTGAGAGTGTGGAGGAAGGTCTTGACTCATACTTGTGAGAAAGGGAGGGAAGGTCTTGACTCATACTTGTGAGAGTGTGAGGGAAGGTCTTGACTCATACTTGTGAGAGAGTGTGAGGAAGGTCTTGACTCATACTGTGAGAGTGTGAGGGAAGGTCTGACTCATACTTGTGAGAGGAGGAAGGTCTTGACTCATACTTGTGTGAGTGTGAGGGAAGGTCTTGACTCATACTTGTGAGAGTGTGAGGGAAGGTCTTGACTCATAGTTGTGAGGTGAGTGTATATTTATGAGTTTTTTTTTAATTATAGATGCAGGGAATATAATAAAAATGAGTTGAATGCAGTGTCGTAGTCAAGTCTGTTCCTTTGAGAGAGAGAGAGAAACAATGGTGTCATGGTTTTATTTGAAGTCTGATATATAGGTTCCGTATTATTATTATTATTATTATTATTATTATTATTATTATTATTATTATTATTATTATTATTATTTCTCCCTCCGCCACCCTTCTATCTCCCCTCACTTGTATAATTTGTATTGACTCGACGACCTCTGTAGTGTAGAACCCTTCATTTAGTACTGTGCTGCCCCTTGGCTTCATATTCTCAAAACATCTTAAGTTATATTGACTCTAGTTAGGATGGTAAGACTGCATCTATTTGGCTCACTTACGTTGCGACCATTAAAGTTAGTGAGTTGTAATTCTGCCTTTACTGGTGTGTGTGGACAGTATAAAAAACCGTTTTAACACTTGAGAGACTGTGTTTTAAGTAAGTGCTTCCTTCCATCCTCCATTTACTGAGGAAATGCAAAGTAGGAAGCTTTAAGATCCCAAGCACCTGAATGGTCCCCTGGCAGCGAAGCCGTCGCCACCTCCCTGGGAAACACAGATACCAAGACGACTCTTGGCAACTGTTGTCTCAGCGGACGCGTTCTAAATGTCGGCTTTGTTTATGTCTTGGCTGGTGATGTACTCCCCTCGGTAAGGTTTCTTCTCCCTCGTGAGGTTAAGTCCTGCATCATTTATGAAACGTAGCGGCCGTTCCCCAGCGACTGTAAGCGTCATCACTATGGAACGAGCTCACGTAGCCAGTGTAAGAAGGGGAGGATGAGGGGAAGGAAACTGCGTCACACAGTAGGCAAGGTCGGCCGCCTCGCCACAGGCAAAGATGTCTCGCCTGAAACACTGACGCGGCTCCACCATCCGTGTTGGCTGATGTACGACGACGAGAAACCCGACTTGCTTAATGATCTATGTAAGATACAGATTTACGTTCATGTTTCATTCCTGCGCATACATGAACTACAGTTAATTATTGTGTGTAAAATTCTGCATACATGACAGCAAGACCAATTCAGTGTGGGATGATGGTATGTTATGCTGTAGTTATGAGCTTAGCCAGTAAGATTAGGCAACTATATTCACATATACCGTTCGTGCTGCCGTATGCGAGCAAATGTACAAAGAGATCAATACTTGTAGGTCATTTAGGTGAACATCCATGGAAATTACACATGAGAGATGAACCAAAGCGTAAACTAAACCGTCAAGCATACCGTGAATTATCCTACACCTGGCAACAAGTCGCGTCAAAACACTAAACAAATTATTAATCAAAACAAATGAAACGTGATAATAGAAGGCGCCTAAAGCAGATGTGTTGGTGCTATTTAATAAGCTAAGTGTTATATATCTCTACGTTTATTTATTTATTCTTAAGAGGATAGAGTTTGATATAAGTTAATAATAAAAATTTCACTAAGTCAGTTTTGCCTTTATAAACCTGACCTTCAAAAAGTAGTACAGTATTGAAGTTACTGTATGTAAATATATCCTGTTTTCCCGACATTGTTTCAAAAGTTTTTATAATCCAGTGATTTTGAGTTATATCTACTTTAGGTTAAAGCTCATAGGCACCGTTAATAACCCGTCAACGGTATAGAAAGCCCGGCTGGTTCACTAATCAACGGTGTGAACGGGGCCGACACATCGACGTCATTGTTAATCCCTGTTAAAATATTCTGTCAACAAGGAACAATATTAATGAGGTTTCAGGTGTGTTGGATCACCTGAAGATTACACACCCCGATTTATTCCCTGCAAGGGCGACCAAACGCTCACCTAACGAAACCTAACGTAACCTAACCTGACCAAACCTAACCAAACGCTAACCTAACCAAACTAACTGACCAAACCAACCAACTAACCGACCAAACCCACCAACCAAACCAACCAACCAAACCAACCACCAAACCAACAACCAACCCAACAACCAAACAACAACCAAACCAACCAACAAACAACCACCAAACCAACCAACAAACAACCACCAACCTAACCTAACCAAACCTAACCAACCA